CTGTATCTTCAAAGGATTAACGACTACCAAAGAAGATATTGTGATGCTTTTAATTGCTTATATTCACACTTACGCACATGACATGACAGGGAGGTAATGCAAGGCTGCTATCTTTCGTTCTGAAAACGCTGAAATATTTCCATATTGAGAAGTGAAAAAACTGTATGCATCAGCTTCATAAAGGTGAAATCTAAGAATTAAAGCATTCTCTTTTCCAGGAAAGTTATTCTAACTTTGAGTCGCCTATATAGTTGAGTAAACGCTGTACTCAAGATCGGTATTCTGACATGAAGACGAAATTTCAAACAAGGGTTTTGAAAATTCCAAAATAGAAGTCCAGGACGGAGGTTTGTGGGAAGTTTTTACTGCGACATTAAAACTGTGTGTATGTGGATGGGCATCAAACTGTAAGCACTTTGATGCCTCCAACACTGACGATGGGAAAAAGTGAAAACCGTCGAACACCAATCGTTTTTTTATTTTGCTTCTAGCAACCAGGCAGGTTCAGGATGGTCTCGAATTCTTCTCTTCTGCATAGTGCTTCTGCACCAGGTTGAAGATCGCACAGTTCAGATACATAAATAAACCCGAACGGACATGTATTAACAGATTTTAAGCTTGTAAGCCTTCATTTTTTACACGTTATTCTCGCTTCTTCACCTTGTCTTCCACTATCATGTGCTTTTATCCTCATACCCTCCTCACTCGTGTCTGCGTATCACCCTCTTCTGCCAAGTTTATAACATTACGCCAATATTATCTGTATTATTTTTGCTTTGAATTGGTATCGTTAAGCCATTCTACTAGCTATGAATCTCTCTATCTCTAACTTTATATTCATATTTTGCAAATTAGTCATGTTATTACCTTTATTTTCGTTTCCCCCCTCTTACTCCACCCCAATCGGTATTGTAGTGGAGAAGAGTCGACTGGGCCTCTGTCATCGCAGCATCGGTCCCACCGTTCTCAGCAGTCCAGAGGGCTGCATTCGCCGCTGGCTGGCAAAACGTCAACAGAAGCAGCAGCACCGGCATCGGGCAGCGAAGAACCCGAAAAAAGCGCATGTGCTGCACCCTCGTCTCCATGTTCCCGCTTAAACGGCACTCAGAACCTGACCCCTCAAGCCGAACTCGTGCCAGCCAGCCATCACCTCCAACAGATGATGCAGGATCGTTGGCAGGGCCACAGCAATAGTGAAATCACCAACAGATCTCCGTCAGGAGATCGAGTTTTCGGACATGTGCTTGCCGGCTTAGCTTGGACTAGCTGGGCCCTGTTGGCCGAGCATCTGGCCGGTTTGCTGGGCCGACAAACAGAGGAGCATGGTTCTGCGAGCGTACTTCGACTGATCTCTGATGGACTGGAAGCCCTGACGCCTTGGCAGCTCGGTGAGTTTTAGACTTTAGGTGATTTCATCGCCATGTAACCACGGCAATTCAAGCTTACTCGAAAGTCTACTTATAAATGAAAAATAAGTAGTGCAGTCGATTGTTAGTGCAAATATAAATTTGCTTCATCGACAATCGCACAAAAGAATGTGATATGGGAAAATGCCTGGCCTTGTGTGAAATTATCATTTGCCCTGTGACCAAAGGGCACTCGTGGCGGTTGGACAGTGGTTAACTTGTCGAGACTACACGCTGCATTGTCATGGTTCGAATCCCGTTGGGGGTGTTGACAAGACATAGGCGAGATCAAAACTGCAGTCCATCCTGGGAAAGCATGTCTATATGAAATTCAATGAAAACTTCAGCTCTACTCATAGCACTGTGGGCAAATTCAACAACTTTCTACTACCTCTATTGACTCAAAAGAAATGGGATGAATACATTTCATACAAATTTGTTTCATCAACAATCCTACTGTAAAATGTGATAGTGTCTCGCCTCGCCTAACTTTAAACTAACTTCTTTTAGCCGCGTTTCTGATTGCCGACATTGCATACAGGAATTTAAAAAATTCGTAACCAATATGCTGGACTGCACGATGGACATCCTCGTACATGCACTCTTTCTCAACTCCTCGAGCCAATTGTAGCACAAACGCCATCAAAATGCAACCTGCTTCACTCGAACTCGGTGACTTTCTCAACCAGACGTGGTTGCTTGTTAAGCAGAATGTCTTCTTCATTTACGACTCTCTGCAAAAGAGACCTGTCGCCCGAACTCTCCTTGATGCCAGTGTTGAAGAGGCTGAACAATTTACCAATTCCTTCCACATGTCCTGTCAAACGAAATGAAAGGTATGCCAGCATCCGTCGTGGCTAGGACAATAAGAAGCGTCCTTCAACAAACCTCATGGTCAAGGG